AACGACGTTAACAGCTTGGATGCAACAGAGATGAGACTGATCCCTCGGTAATTGGAGCAATCGTGGCGGGGGCCCTTCTTGAAAACAGGCACGACTTCCGCCAAACTCCATTCGGATGAAATGGATCCAGTATTCCAGATGGTTTGAAATAAGGAAGTTAGTTCGCCAACGAAGCTTGCACCACCGTCTTTGAAAAAAGCCGGAGGGAGCTAATCTGGGTCGGGCGATTTGTGGCGTTTCAGAAGTCTAAGCTCTCCGAGGACTTCTTCCTCCTTAGGCGATGAAATGTCCACGGATCATGGAGCACTACACACATCGGGAGATGGAGGTGATGATTTCGATAACCAACTGAATTGTTCAAATAGTTTGGCAGATTTGAAGTTTGTATGTCGATTGTGAAAAGTTCAGTAGCCTCGGTGGGCTTACATGCTTACATGCTAACTGGTGGATGCCACATGCCTCTGTAAGTTGAATGGGTAGATTCGAATGTGAAAAGATCAGTGCTATCGGTGTGGCCTCCTAGCTCAGCTGGTAGAGCATACACGTACAAAGCGTAGGCGGCGTCCATGCGCGGGTTCGAATCCCACCGAGGCTACTGAACTTTTCACAATCCAAGCTACAGCGGTGTCCATGCGTGGGTTCCAATCCGACCGAGGCTACTGAACTTTTCACAATCCACATACAAACCAAGTGAATTGTTGGTGAAAGTGCTCCGCCCAGCACCCAAGCTGACGTAGACTGTGGACACATTAGCCAATAATTTCGCATATGGTTTCACTGACGCATTGTTTTTTGTTACCGGTGACTCGGATTAGTCGAAAACGTTTGTGAGCATTACCGGAACCAGANAGGGATGCTTCGACGAGTGTCGAGCAGTTGGAGAGAACGTGCCGAAACCTCGTGATTGACTGTGCGTTTGGTGAAGCCACATGCTGTGGCGGCGGACTTATGCATGGCGTTATGAATGTGAGTCTACTGGTTGTCAACGTTCGAGGATGGCAGACTGTCTTGTTCTGGTGGGCGGTAACTACGTTTGGGTAGGTCACTTTCATCAAATCAATTCTTCTCGGGTGACTGCTGTTTTCCGTCAAAGCGCAGAGAATTTCGCGCACACGAGTGCATTATCAGAGCTGTGATATGTGTTCCAGATGTATTTGCAGTCCGTTATGCAATTTCTCCATCGATAACTGATGGCAATATGATCTATTTGAATCCAGAGCTGATCAGACGATGAAGGTCACCAAGTAGCACGTTGGCGGCATGGTCGGCAAAAATTGGTGCTCGATAGGGAGAGATCATGTTCAGCGCGG